CCATAATCCACATTTTATTACCATTCTATTACTGTTTATTAATAACATTGTTTTCCATACATTTTTTATACAAAAACACTTTATTAGCCTTTCCACTAGTTCCTGTCCATTTTACACGAGATTATTGATTATTCACTATCTCACACTTATTACGTCATTCCAACTTCTGTCTCCTTTCTAACTTACAATTTGTCATCCCTTCTTACACCTTACATTATGTAATACAATTTTCCAAGGACAAAGTTTACCAGTATCTGATTGGTCTAAAGATTTCTTTGTTAACTATAATTACGACTGTACAGCAGCTCATGAAAATGAATCGTCGGAAGGAAAATTTTCTTCTTCGCTGTTTGTGCCTTTTTCTTATGACCTACTACAAGTCACCTAGAAGGTGTGAAAACACACAAAAACAACCAATCACGTCTAAGGTCACCGGGAGAGATGAATAATGGTGAACTCGTGGAGAAATCTAAAAGCTCACTTCATCGAATTGAAGTATGAGCTGAAGATGTCACCTAGTAGGGTGATGAAAGCTTCGCAAATTAACTATCCAGCTGGCTCAGAGAACACAACCACATCAAAAAAGTAGATGAATGTGCTGTTTTTTAAACACAGGTCAAGTTTCTTCTTCTTAATTTCTATTAGATTCAGTTATTTCTAGGAGACTTAGGCGTGCGCCTTTGAGGCAAATTGTTTGCTAATCGATACACAACCGTAAACCACTCATCTATTTTGATGTGATAATAAAAATCCACACTCGAAATGGAGAACGAGTCTAGCATTCATTTCCTCGATTTGAACTTATCAAGGAGGACCTATGGAACTCTGAAGAGATAGATTTATCGGAAGCTGTCAAGGAATAATGGTCAACTGACGAATTTCTACAGCCGAGTACCCATTGGTCGAAAACGAAACCTGGTTCAGTCGCTTGACATTCGCTCGTATTCGGCGAATATGTAGCTTTGATACTGTGGAAGATGAGTTATATCTTTTGAGGAAAATCCTAACAGAAAATCGATTTCCACCACGTTTTATAGATAAGAATATACATTCAAATCCGATGAAACGTGACTTATCATCCGCACCCACGAATATACTGTACATGAGCTTGGAATTCAAAGGGGACTCTTAGCTTCCGATATCATCATGAAACGAAGGATATCACAGTCCCTGAAAAGAACATTCCCTGCTGCATCTCTGAGAATAAATAGCCTTTACTAGTCGACCATTACTGTTCAGTAACCTGAAGGACAAGATCCCGCTGTTGACCAACTCTATGTGTGTTTATCAATTCACCTGCTCGTGTGGAGATAGGTATATCGGTCGTTCGACTCGAGTTTTGTGCAAGAGGGTGCAAGAACACTATCCTGCATGGTAGTTACGAAGAGGTGGAAGTGGAGCAATAAGAAGCGCGATCATTGAACATCTGGTCGATAATGATCACCCAGTTATCTCTATAGCCTCCGCCTTTAAAGTCATCTACAAGGCAAAGAGTAATTTACCCAAATCACTACGTACCCGACTCATCTGTTGTATTGCTGAAGCCATCTTTGGCTATCGAAACAGAAAAGCCAGATCTCTGTGTACAGAAAAAGTTCGTTCATCCCCTCTACTCCAACTTTCATGGTCTTAATCCTTCTATTGCTAAAGTATGGTAATCCCCAATCATATTTTGGCTCTACCAATTTTTCATTTTTTTCATTTTGTCTATTCAATTTGTATTCTCTTCCTTTATTACAATGTCAATTGTTACTACTATTATTATTCTCACTTTGAACTGTCCCCAGTATTATTTCACTTGTTCCACTTGTCATTCTAAATCAATTCTTCTTTTTTACAACGTTAAATTCTATGCTATCAAATTTCACACAATATTACGTAACGTTTTTATTTTATTCGATTTGTCTACTAATCTTATAATTGCACACCCTTTTTCAAGTTCTATCCATCCTATGAATTATTCTATATAAAGTGACATTAATTGTTTTGCCACTTGACATTTAACTATGATTATAATCACAAACATTTTAGTTTTAATTGCATTTCATATTATTATTATTATTATTTTATGCATTCACTCAGACCTATGATTCAATTCCCTCACCGGATATAACTTCTTAAAAACCACATATATATATATACGATTGTACAGCTTGATGATAAATTCGTTGTTGAAAAGAGTCTCTTCGCTGAATGGATCACCACTTGTTTTGATTTTCTTCTATATGTTACAATGGGAATTTTCCATGTGCAATAATAATTATCCACTGGGTGACGTAAAATGGCACTTTTTATTGATTTGGTTACTCTTTTCTTTGATACCGAACTGGAACATGTTCACGTGTGCGTAAAGATAAATTCTTCTTCTGAGTAGGACCTATGCAACTGCTTTCGTAGGAGCAGATGAATTTGTATACACATTGATTTAGCCATTGTTGGTGAATTTATCTTTAGTGAAATTTGTCAGTATTGGTCTGGTTGAGAAACTGACTTCTTTGTTCTGCAGCAAGGAAAGTTTTTTCAGCTGATCACTATATATATTACTCCTTCGAACTGTACTCATAAATAAAGCTTCTTCTTACTCCATGTATCCGGCTTAATTTCACTAGTTCTTTACAAAATTTGGTAGGACAATCATTTTGTAGCAGGGTAATTTTAAGATTTTCAAGATTTTATCTTCAATACAGTCCTGGGTACAATTTATGCTCACCTAGAGTGACCTGCAAACAGGATGTTAAAGGTTTTCATCAGGGTAATCAACGTGCCACTTAACCAGCTTGTTAATATTCTATTTGACAGGCACATGGACTCATGTGAAAAATGGGCCAAATCCATTCTATCTAACTCACACCACCCTCTTCACTCACAACTCTCCACTTGTATCTCTTCAGGCAGGACCAGAAGCCTATATAGAAAACTATGTGCCCGCACCAGCAAGTACAAAACTCCACCATACCCTACTTAGCTCGTGTTCTGTGCGTTAAAGAAAGCATTAGGCGTGACACCTATAATTCATTAAATAGTCAGTAGTACAACTGGACCTCGTCTTTCCAACTCATATCATTTATAGGTACAACATTTTCTTTCTTTCTTTTCCTTTTTTCTCTCTCTCTCTCTTTTATTTCCGTTATATGCTGCTTTGTTTCTTTTTTCCTCTTACGCCAGTAAATATGATAGCACTTACATTTCTAACACCTTCAAACACTGTTCAGCTTTGGCTTTGCTACCGACATGCCAATATATTGTTGTCAAAATTAACTGAGACTACCCATAATCTATGTAGAATTCTGTTTATTGATAATGTACTAACTGGGTGCGATACTGTAGTAAAAGTGTTGAGAATTCCATTCTGTATCACAAATACTGTTTTGGAATAATGTAAATTATTATTATTATCTTACTTAGCGTTATCATTCAGTTAGATGCAAGGTGACTGAGAATACTGAGAATGATTCGATTGAATAACTAATTAATTCACAGTGTAGAAACAAAAATCTTTTATTCATTTAGACCTCTCAGCTGTACGCTTTAGTTCAAGTGGCATTCTGTGTCTTTTAATTTTAGCTGTGTTGGGTGGACCTGTAATTGTTCTTCACTTCTTTTTCTGAGTCAGTCAGTCAGTTTTTTTCCTTCACGTTCCCCAGTGGAATATAGGGCCTCAAGCTAGTGGCTTGAAGCTTCTGTAGCAGTGTTTATTTTACAGGATGGGGTCGCTAGCTTCATGCCCAAGCTTTCCTCTTCACCATCATTATTTCTAGCTCAGCGAGGTAAAGGAGTGCGTCGACCGCGGATCGGACCCCGGACCATGTGCATGGTCGGCGAGCATCCTCACCGCTATGCCACCGACGCGATTCAACTAGTAGGCTGACATAATAATAACAATAATCTACTTTATTCCAAAAACAGTACTTATAATACAGAATGGAATTCTCAGCATTTGTCACAATATTGCATCTGCTTTACTCAAAATATAAATAAAACTTATGAGAAAATAAACAAAAATAAAAACAAAAAACTGAGAGGACCATAAATATAAAAAGTACAATAAGAATAAAGGCTGATGTTGTAAGGGTGGAGGAAATGGTTTATTTACTAGTGCAAAGAAGGTTAGTTAGTTAGTTCATGCCTAACACTATTTTCATCTCATAAATTACGTGCTGTCAAATATGGTATAGTGTAATTTTTATACTTAGACGTACGTGCATAAAGTCTTCTGAAAAGAATTCTTGTTCTACCTGAGGAGGAGACACAAGGTTGGAGCTGTGGGTGCTGCGGTGGTTGCTTACAGTCTGACAAAATTCCTTTTGCAAATTTCTTGCGTGACATCAAATGCCTATCACTGACAATGTCAACGATATGGCCCAATGGGATACCACTCGCCCTACTGACTGACTGACAGTCTTCAGAGTTCTACGAAGTATGACATAGGCTTTCCTTTAAGCAATCCAGGGGAGAATAAGCAGGGGTGAACAGTAAGATGCACGAGTTGACAAACTGAAAGAGGAGGAGGGATTGGTTGCGTTATGCCTGAGTGCCTTAACTTATTGATGTGAAAATTCAGACGAAATATTCTTTTAGAAATCGCTAAGACATGGGAAGACCAGGATAGGTGGTCAGTAGAAAGAATTCATCCAAGATACTTAACTTCACACTTGATTTCTACATCAGTTTCATCAATTTCGCAACGGTCATAGGAACCAACAGCTTCATCATTTAACTTTCGTTTACATCGGAAACTGAAACTAACACTCTGATATTTTTGGAAGAATTCAGTTTAAGACCGACCATTAGACGAAGACCATTTACTAACCACTCCTGATAGAAAGCTGTTCATCTTAGTACAGTCTAGCTGACTGGGAGTTAACAGACACTTGAAATAGTTGAATCATCGGCATACTTAACAAAGTTCATTTCATCAGAGTAAACAAGATCTTAGCCGTGTAAAGAAACCGCTGGAACCATTTCGACTGTGGAAACATGATGAAAGTGAACTGCGTAGAATGGATTGGCATCCGTCTGAAAGTGACTGTAATCCGCCAAAGTTGAACAATGTAAGCGCTGATTGCTTAAATTTGAGCTTTTAAATCTGTTTATATATTAGTTCAAGTATACGCCTGTTTGTTTCGACGAGGCAAGCAGATTAACCAAGTACCGAAATATTATTGAGAATTTAACACCTCTACACCGACGACGTTTACTTGAAGAATTTGTCTATCGTGACCCTGATGAATACCTGCAAAAAAGGGATAAGAAAACAGTCGAATGTTGTTATTGTGGTCGTCTTTGCTGTGATCCACGGCCTTATGAAGATCCTTTACCGATGACACAAAGAGAAATTATGCGATTAAGATTTATGTCAAATAATTATAAAACATTCGACGATTGGAAGGATGATGTGAATGACGAATTGTTGAATTCGTTTGGAAATAAAAAAAAACTGAGATGAATGATAATTAATTCCTAGTGAATGTGGGAAATCGTTTAATCTAATATTTTGATGAAAGTGAAAAATCAATTCCTTTTGCTTTTTGATTACCGCGGACTATTCAAGTTGTTTTTTTTTTTGTGTTTATGATTCGTGGTACAGCTGTGTAATACGATGCCTGAATGCTTGAGAATTATTATATTTGAGCGAGACTGTAAGTCCAGATTAATGGATTATGTTTTATCTGATATATGTATATAAAAAGTTGATATTCAGAGATTCCTCTAGAAGGATTTCAAATCCACTTAATGCATTGATAATAAAATCACTGGTATCTCCTCTTACTTCAATACTCTATTCAGGTAAAACACAGGCAAACTTGATAATAGTGAATTTACCTAGAAAAAATAGCTGTTTCTTTTGAATAAAAATAAATATTTTATTTTAAAAGACTTTTGTGCACTATTCAGCAGTGAACTGGCTGTCTTAATATATCTGTGTGTAAAACTTAGGCACTGTGGTGGTAGTAATTCCACATTAGTTTGTTTATTAGATGGATGTATCACACAGTCAGTGAGTGAAACAGTATTAGAGTATTTACTGGATGACAAAGTTGTTTCGAACACAATTCATCATTATTGCTGTTCATAATAATACACACCACCAATTATTATGATCATACGACTTTGAAACTTGAGTCTGATAGTTTTCTTTGTTCTCTCCTATTTGTCGTCGTCATTGGGGTAGTAGAATTTTCCAGATGTCCAGCTGGACAGGTGTCGAATCATTCCTATTACAGACACGTATTTGTAGTTGATTCGATAAACAAAGCTTCCGTTGTTATCAATCTTCCCCACTCGTCACCCTGTTAATTGCATTAGATTTTCAGACTGTCATCTTATCCCATCCAGCCTATTGTATGTTTGGGTGTGTGTGTAATTGGATGTAGTCCTTGCGATAGCTGCTGAACTATTCGCTAGATTTCTTATCTTATTCGGGTCAGCCAATCTAGATTTTGCTGCTAGACGTTTATGCTGCTCGGCTAGTTTAACTCACTGACTGACCCTGTTCTACTAGTTTGACCTATGTATTTGACCTGACAATCATCGCACTCAGGGCATTAGATAAACTAAATTGTTTTGTGTTAAAGGCTCCACAGGATTGATCCTTTAACCGACAAAGCTTGTTTCTAATTGAGTTTGTGGCTGGTTGGAATGCCAGCAGCCACTTTTATTCCTGTCTGCCTTGTTAAGAATTCTCCACTGTCAGGTGGTTTCCGAGGTTCCCTCTTTGTATGGAATTACTACTGATGATTTAGATTCCTTATTGTTGGTGTTGTCATTATCCTGCGCATGTTGGACATGCATATTGTCATTAATCAAAGCGAGTTGTGGATGAAGTACCAGGTCGATGTACTAAGAAACCACCACCTGATTAATTATTCACAAGTAGGCCTGTAGAAAAGAGGACAGGTTGGACATGAATCTAGCAAGCCCTCGAAAGCAGTACCATGACTCAAATGAACTGCAATCAAGATTTAACCAAACACTTCCAAAATATTCGAGTGTTGGTTTGTAGGGATTTGATTGGTTACAGGATTTTCATCATGAGTTGACATTAGTTAGAGAACCATTGGAAAACCTGGGGGTACTGGACAGATGTTTCATCCTAGTTTGAGACTCTTTAGCAGTACTCACCCACCGCCAATGTTCGAACCCAGGACCTTCTGGTTACAAGGTGAGTTCGTATACCATTCAGCCACTGGGACCCAATCCAATGGCCCATGAATTCTAACTTCTGCAGCTCTTGATGAAAATCCTTAACCAATCAAATCCCTACAAACCAACACTTGAATATCAATGAGATGCTCACTAGAGACTTGCCCTATTCAGGTAGGCAGGTACCTGGGTGGGTTCTAGTGAGAAGTCGTGACCAGTAGGGTGCAGCAGGTCGGGTGTGAGGACAAATACTCGCCGAAGACATTGGCTAGGGGTCACGCTATGTCATGAATTGGCAGAAGTTAGAATTCATGGGCCATTGCATTGGGTCCCAGTGGCTGAATGGTATACGAACTCACCTTGTAACCAGAAGTTCCTGGGTTCGAACCCTGGCGGTGGGTGAGTACTGATGAAGAGTCCCAAAACTAGGACGAAACAGCTGTCCAGTACTCCCTGCAGGTTTTCCAATGGTTCTCTAACTAATGTCAGCTCATAACTTCCAAAATAATTTGGCCTCGAGTGAGAAGTAGACACATATGTAAACATTATATTTCAAAAATATCTCAGTGAATTTGAAATAAGTAATTCCAACGTTTCGTTTGGCGAACTGGTCCGAACTTCTTCAGGGAAATTAATCGAAATTAAAGTAACATTAAAAACTTTATTCAATCTTATGAGTCATGGATTTGGCAACAAAACATTATAAAGAAAATTGCATTAACTCTAACCAAAATTTGACCTCAAACTAACAAATATCAAATTGAATATTTCCATAATTTATTCAGAACAAAATATTTAGAGCGAACAATTGTTTTCAATAAATTCTTCTTCAGGCTCTACAATTATAAATCCATTAACTTAAGGATACAATAGCCAGTAAAGGCAAATTAGAATCATATCAGAAAGTGTATTGTGGAACAAGTATAAGTAAGATGGATGGGATGGAACAATAGTCAGATAGTTTTTTAATATGCATGGTCAATGAGAGCATGGAACAAAATGAGATGAAGTAATTTAATTTAATGATGTGGGTATATATGTAAATATAGTCAACAGAAAAATACAGGTTTCGAGAGTGAGTGTAATCAGGGTGTGTGTGAGACAATATGAAAATAAACCAACGAATGGGGCGGTCTAGATATAAGTTCAAGGTTGAAAATAACGACAATAGGAATGATTGCAAAATAATAATAACGATGATATGGTGTAAAATTACAAGCACTATTGGTGAATGATTGTCAAATAGTAATGAAGTGGAATGAACAAGATTTTGTAAATACGATAGCAAGTTAGAAAAGCACTACTTAAACCTAAGGTAATAAAATCATAAGAAAGGTCATGAAATCATAAAAGTCGAAAATGAACGTTTATCAATGAAACAGAGGAATAGAAGAAGAAGAAGAAGGAAAGAAAAGAAAATTGTGATAGGAATTTTTGGTGTTAATTAATGTTTATGGAGGATTTGTTGGCTTTATTGTAGGCCAAGGTAAACATAGTGGTTGAACATACTTCATATCGTCTCACACACCCTGATTACACACACTCTCGAAACCTGTATTTTTCTGTTGACTATATTTACATATATAAACACACATCATTAAATTAAATTACTTCATCTCATTTTGTTCCATGCTCTCATTGACCATGCATATTAAAAAACTATCTGACTATTGTTCCATCCCATCCATCTTACTTATACTTGTTCCACAATACACTTTCTGATATGATTCTAATTTGCCTTTACTGGCTATTGTATCCTTAAGTTAATGGATTTATAATTGTAGAGCCTGAAGAAGAATTTATTGAAAACAATTGTTCGCTCTAAATATTTTGTTCTAACAAATATTAGTCTACTTTTGTCAGACACTGTGAACTGTGTGTACTTTTACATCAGAATTTTAGTGATTACGTTTAATTTTCAGGGATTATTTTTTAGGGATTGTATTTAATTCATCCTAGACTGCTGAGTCCCAAACTAGGATGAAACAGTTGTCCAGTACACCCGGGTTTTCAGTTGTTCTCCCTTTCTCTCTCTCTCTATATATATATGCATGGTATAAAGTGGTGTGTGTATGCGGCAACAATTAAAAATTCCATAAGAAGGGGAAAATCAGATTAAGTATAACTGATTAGTGATACCTATCCGTTTTTATTTATTAATCAGAACTTGCTATGCATCAGCTAACATCACACCACACCTTCACGTCTGTACTAACTTCTGGAATTCACCCGCTAATATGTAGGGCTTCTGCAGTCAGTCTTTCTTGATACAAACCAAAAACCATTCTGAAAAACCTTGGTCTTAATAAAGTCGATCTTGTATCCCATTTCTATCGGGTACAGTGCAATATCCTCGATCTGTTTCCTAGCTTCTTCAAATCTGTAGAGGTCTTTGGAGCCACCTTCAAACATTTTTTTGCGTAAGGTGATAAACTTAAAATAAAAATTCTCAGATAGCCTACACATTCGAACAGATACCTTGACTACAGTTCAGCTTATCCCTTTACCAGCAAAGTAACTATGGTCAAGAATCTGATTAACGTATCCAAACGTCTAGTTACGGAGGAGAAGGGACTAAAATTGGTTCAAATGTGAAGATAAGGATGAATAGAAACATGTTGCTAAGATTGGGGTTAGTACATCGGATGAGATAAAGAGAATCCTTAACAATCATGACATAGAAGTTGACTTTCGTGAAACTGACACCTTGCGCTCATCGCTGGAGACGGGTTAAGGATGAAATAGAGGATGATAACCAACAAAATTGTGTGTACCAGATCAGTTGTGGGGGTTGTGTTGCCGTACATGTGGGAGAAACCTCCAAACAGGTAAATGTAAGAGTGAAGGTGCATAAACATATGATATATATATTTTAATTTCGATTAGTTCCCCTGAAGAAGTTGGTACCAGTTCGCCGAACGAAACCTTGGAATTACTTGGTTTCATTTCGCTGAGATTTTTAAAATACAACTTTTAGAATATATATTGAAGGTGAAAATAACAATGAAGATCACAAAGCCAAATAACAGAGGTAATAGTACATCTAATCTAGCTGGTATCAAAACAAAATTTACCAAGGAAGGTTTAATGTGATGACGAATTGCTGCTTTGAACTCATAAAGGTGGTTTAAACTTCTTAACTGCTGGCTAGGGCTTCCAAAAACTTTAGGATACGCCCTCCCCAAACACGCTTTTATAGATAGATAGCTTTAAAAGATGTGTTAACGTCAATTTTATGTCCTGTCTCTTCTACAGTATTTTTCGCAATAGACGAGCTAGGTCTTCGTCTGTTCTCACCATTAG